TCCCCAATCCGCTAAGGAAAACCCCGAGACGTTCCTTGATCTCGCGGGAGACCGCTCGACGACAAAGGTCTCGCCTCGGGGGAAAGTGCTGACCTCGGCACGTGTCCGGGCGCTGGAGGACACTCAGGACCGGCTGGCGCCAGCCCGCAGCCGGCCACGCGGAAAATGCCACCGGTGGACACTCCTGGCGCCCGAGGGGAACGGCGCGGGGAGGGGCAGGGAGGTGTAATCTGTGTCAAGGGGCGGCGCTTGGTTATCGGCGGCCGTGATCGCCGCAGCTGGCGCACGACACGAACGTCACACGACACCGGCGCGTGACAGCCGTGTCGTTTGGCACGCAACGGTCGGAAAAGGGCAACCGACAGCACTCTCTGCCCCATAGAATCCTGCTGACTGACCTTGGCCCCGAAAACATGCCATGCAACGTTGACGGGTTCCGTATTCAGCAACCGGCGAAACGTATTGCCGCCGCCTCCAATAAAACACGATCATTGAATTCAAACCATTAAAAAATAATTAACGGAGCACATCACCAGACCGGGCCCGACAGCAGTCTCCGACAAAGCGCCTTACAGGGACGTATGACTCACACATAAACCATGCAGTGTCTTCTACCGCGAATCCAGATTGGCGGCGGGTTCCCGACACAGCTGACAGGTACCGTTAGTCCGCACGTCTCGCGAGGCAACATCATCTTTGAAAAATGGCGTCCATCGGGTAAATTACCACTTCGGTATCCAGTCGGGGAGCTCTGCACTCTAACGGTGCATTATCCGCCATCCATGTTCTCGTCTTTGCGTGGTTCTAGAAGCCCTTCGTCCTGACTGGTTTGGATTCGTCTGGTTGGATGGGATTCAACCAATCATCTGGATTGGTTTAAACGGCGCCGGGCAACAGCTGCAGCCTAATTGGCTGTAAAACTCAGCGGTGGTGTTGATATGGCGCGCTGGACCTTATCGCTTTTACCAGTACATTCGCGCCTTGCACTGTGACGTAACCGACTTGATTGCCGCTTGATGACCGTTAAAACGTCACGACTGTTCTCTGTCAATATGTCAGATCCGTAGTCAGCCTAGTCTTTGCAGCTTTGACGCAAATCTAAGCGCAGCTTTGACATGCAAGGACAGCAGGGAAAATCTCACTTTGATTCTAACCTTGGCGGTCCAGTCAGCATGAATCAATGCATGTATCTGTAAAGACAATACCTATCCAAGGCGCATTAAGCACCGAAAAAGACAACTGACTCGGGCAGAGAGCGACACCTAAAACTTTCACCAAGCTGAGCGAGCTAAGACAGTAGATCTAGCCTTATTCCTCGAAAAAAACAGGAGAATAGAAACATAGTTTGGCTGATATTTCGGCAGCATGCCTGTATAGAAATTTCACTTCTGCTTCTGCTTCGATAAAGGCACGTTGCCGAAATATCGACCAAACTATGTCCCCATTCTCCTGGTGTTCTCCGAGGAATAAAGCTAATACTACTGCTTTATCTATGTGAATAATGTTCCTCGCTAATGCACTGAACAACTTACGTAAGCTGAAGAAGCCTTATAAAATAGCTGACGCATTAACACATGAATACATATGATGCAAACAAAAATCTAGAAAAAAAGAAAACGATAAAACTGCACGAATAAAAATATGTAGCGGTAAAACCAATATCCATCCGAGGACATCTATATCATTATATATGCATGGATATATATATATATATATATATATATATATATATATATATACATATATATGTGTATATATATGTACATCATTAAGCACCGAAAAAGACACCTGACTCAGGCATAGCGCAACACCTAAAACTTTCGCGAAGCTGAGCAAGCCTTATAATATACCTGACGTATTAACACATAAATATATATGACACAAACAAAATCTAGCAAGAAATAAAACGATGAAAGTTGTGGAATAGAAAAAACTGACGTAACAGCTCCCAGTGTGTAACCGCGAATGGTATTTTCTCCCGCGCATCCGCCGTACAAAATCGTCCACCGTGTATTACACAGGCCTGTCGACCGTGCGTGACACGGGCCCGTGACGCATCGGGCGTCCGCGACGCCGGGATGCGGTCGTCTCCGGTGATTTGGTGAGAAATTGGCAGCCCAAGCTGACAACACCTGACACTGACAGCACGGCGGCGCCCCGCCTTGGCGGCGCCCGCGGGATTGGTCGCGCTGCGCCGCCAGCGTGGCCCTAGTGGGAGGGTAATAACGCGATTACTGAGAAATATGTTGGCATAAATATGATGTGCTTATAGTACATCAAATACACTACTAAAAATCTTAAATCTTAAATAGTGATTTGATAATGCGTCTAGTCAACATAACAATAAACGCATCATCGATATAACCTAGCATACATAATAAGTGGCATGATATTAATTTTAGTTGCAATAACAACAGACGACACAGACGCTGCTGTTTCCAATGACAGTTGAAATACAACTTAATTCCGATCTTGATGACGCAGAACGCATTTTGTCAACCCATTCAGGGTCGACAGCTCTCGCGACTGATTGACGCGGGGACGCCGAAAAGTATCGGCCGGGAGCCGGGCTTGAGCCAGGGGTTCTCCGCGAACGATCCCAGAGTTCTCCGTCTCCGGCGAGAGAAGGGCTTTCACGCGATTCAAGCGCGCGCGCGCAGCAGTGGTTACTTCCTGCCGGCTGTAGCGTGCGTTTGGGTAATAGCCGTCTGTTAAAGCCGTCTGCTAAAGCCGTCTGTTATTTGGGCAATGACCGACTGTTAAAAGCGGTCTGCTACAGCCGTCCGTTATACGGGTAACAGCCGTCTGTTAATGGTATGCGTTTGACTGATGATACCGAGGTTAAGCCAACACAGCGCACGTTAGAAGCTGTTTTCACCAATCTGACGTGATGATAAATCACATGTTCAAAGCAGTTGCCAGCTACTATCACGTCCTCAATGCAGTTGCCAGCCACAATCACATCCTCCATGCAGCTGCCAGCCACAGTTACATCCTCAATGCAGCTGCCAGCTACAATCACATCCTCAATAAAGCTGCCAACTTAGAGAATCAATCATTAAATACTCTCATGTTTCCCGTTAGCAACTGGACGTGCCAGGGTTCTGTTTTGCCCCCCCCCCCCTCCTCCGCTCCCAAAAAAGGGTTGGGATAACTTTTGAAAATGATCAAATTTACCCCACCAACACGTTGCACAACGACTCTTCCCGGATTTCGTCAACTTCCCTGCCAAAGTTGGGGGGGGGGGGGCTGAAACTCCCATCTGAACTACACTAGCCCCCTCCCCAACTGAAGAAGCCTCCTACTGAAGCTCCCAACTGAATAGGAATCAATAACCCAAGGACGAGTGTTCAAGAACGCGAATAAATCCCGTTTCATATGTGCAATGCGCACAGCAACAAAAGGACTCCATTCGTCTAGCTTTTAGCTTAGGATGTTATGACGGGAATTTGTCCCCAGGCAACATAACGCAATACGGCTGTAAACTTGACGAACATATATTGCATCATGTCTTGTGCGCTGTGACCTCGTGCAGCCAAGTCCTGAAAGGATTACGGACCAGATCGAGCGTTACATTAGGCTGAACGTGCAACGCGTGAGACAGAAAATCGGGTGAGAAATTCAGAGAAGGATTAGGCAGTAAGCAGTGCATGTCTTTGAACAAATGCAGCATACGACATACCTACAGTACGTTCGTGCTTTCTGTCATATCTACCAGGAGTGTAGTGTCCTATTCGCTTGGGGATACTCCGCCCCCCCCCCCCCCTCCCCCGCACTCCACTTGGGCTCCAGCCACCTCCCTCACCCCAACTTTGAGAACAAAGTGGGCGAAATCCGGGCAGAAACCCGTTTGTCGACGTCTTCTGAAGGTAGGTTTGCCCACCCTGACCCATCTTGCGAAACTGCACCCCTGATGTTCACAGCATGTTTGTGTTCATGTTTCCAGCCTCCTGGGCTGTCAAATCCTAGCGCATGGAAAAGCGCTGGGAATTTGCCGCCAACACTGTGCCTGACGCGTCCCGCAAGGCCTACGCGCACACTGCACGACGCAGTCACCCTACAAAGTGCAGGGCCCATAACGGTTCGAAACGGGACGCAGCTGGATGAGCCACTCTCCTCGCAAAGGATGTTTTTAGACCTCTTTGGAAACAACTTCGTCGACGACTGCGGGCGCGAGTGGCGCACACGACGCGGAGGATGGGACACGGCCACGCCAGCTTTCAGTAGAATTAAACCATTATTCAGCACCGCCCCGAAGCGCTCAATACAGCAGTCCCGCCGCTAGAAATTCCCAACAACACCCGCCGCAACTCGGCGCTTCAAAGCCCTGCCGGCGACATTCTGCTCCTCTCGGTCGCCAAGAATTCCTTTGGGAAGCCAAGCGCATCGACGGGTTTCCGCGGCAGGTCCTGTTTGCTGACGGCGGGCACGGCCTTCGACCCGAGTCGGCGCAATGGCAAATACATCTCCGCAAGCACATATCCAGCACACTTGCTTTTGCCGCTGAGGTGCCCTCGACAGCGCTGAGCCGCGCACCGATCCCACCGGGCAATCAAACACGGGAACGAACTCAATCAACAGACGTTGAAACGGGGTAAACACTGTTGCCGAACATTGCACCGCATTCGGATCCGGCCTCGCCTCCCGACAACAGCCCGCGGGAGTTCGTGGGCGCAATCAAAACCCTTCGCGCACGAGCTGCGTAGCTAGTGAGCACTGCAAGCACCGTCGGACGTTTGTTTAAAACCAAAATGCGTCAAATCTGCAGCAGACGTGAGTATTTCTCTTTTTCGAGCAGCGCGACAAAATCAGCTAGATGACCGCCCGCGCCTCCAGCAGTCTCCAATGTAAACCTGAATCATCCTGGCTTCGTTCCCGCGAGACAGCGCCAGCCAATCTCGCTAAGCAGCCCCTCAGTCCCCGCCACTTCCCCCGGAGCGACCCCCCACGTGGCGGCTGGACGCCCCGTCCCGGCCGAGCGAGCGCATGCCAGCGACTGTCACCTCCGCCTGCTAACTCAGTCCCCGACAAACACTGAGCTGATGAACGAGCCCGCTAAATCCGACCAAAGCGCCGTCAATTAAGCATCATCCCGGGTAAATAAATAGCCGGAGGGCACTGCCGTGCGCGCCCCGGGGCCCGCTGGCACGTGTGCGTGAGAACGGGAGCTCAGACGGGCTCTCCGCTGGAGAGCTCATTATCGCGAACTCGGATCGCGTCTGGTGGCAGGCGTGAAATGCAGCTAAACGATGCGCATTAAACGGGGATCCGAATTAGACCGCAGACGAACGCGGCGCATCAGTCACGTGGCACGCACGCGCGCTGGATGAAATGTTCACAAGTGGACACGCGTTATTCTGATTTGTTTTACGATGGGTAGACACGGCTTTGGCACGCTACACAACCGGGTCGAATTAACAAACGGAATATCGTCAGAAAAGAGGACATTGAGCACGAAAGAAAGTGAGTGAACGAAAGTGAAACGATTCCAATCGCCAAGAGAATGAAAACACTCCGCAAAAAACAAACGTTCGCTACAAAAGCCAAATACCTCCTCCAGGAAGATCCCACCAACGCAGGCGCGAGGCACGCGCTTCTCGGTGCAGGACACCTCCGTCGCGGAGATTCGGCGCGCGGCGCGGACGGTTCGGACACCAGGCAACCAATACCGCTAGCTGGGCGGCCAGACCGTGCCTTGGTGCCGCCAGTCCAGTTTCCTGATTACCTTGAGGTTTTGCGCCCCACATTCAAGGGCGGCGCCAGGCGGCGGGAGCGGTGGGCGCCGCGCGCCGTGCGCCGGGATGGCCGTTTTGTTTTGGTTGTGGGTGTGAGAGGCGTTTGGTTGTTTGCAGTGAGGTAGTGCAAACACTCGGACCTAAAATCAGGTGACGACATGCCGAAAAGACCTCGTTAACCTTACCGGCAGCTAGGTTGATGAGGGTGAAGGTAATATTTCATTGCCTGTGTTTCTTGACGCCAGTTGCACAAGTTATCAGCCGCACAAATTTTACTCGTCCCCCCCCCCAAAAAAAAATGTGAGAAAGCAGCGACAGTCGTGTTGTCACACTGCATGTTTTTTTATCTTCCTCGGGTGCATGTACTCTTCCTCTCAAGACACTCCCCACCACACATTTCGAACCTCGAACCGCTCCTGGCATCGCCTGTGCCCGTGTCCCGCTGACTGAGCCAGAGCGGCACCGGTTACCATGACAACGCTGACCAGCGCACGACCCAAGGTCAACCGGTGCCTGGTGGGGCTCCGGGAAGAAGACGGGCCAATTAGAACCGGCCGGCCGGCCAACCCCGCCGGAGGAAGCCTCCCATGGCGCGGGAGGGGGAGGGGGAAGGGCGAGAGAAGGGAGGCAACTAAACCGGTACGTGCCGGGAGACGCTAGGACTCGCCCCGGCGTCGTGTCAGCCGATGAGACGCCAGGCCGGGCCGGGCCTTGATGTACTTGGGGGAGACGCTAGGACTCGCCCCGGCGTCGCGTCAGCCGATGAGAAGCCGGGCCGGGCCTTGACGTACTTGGGGGAGACGGCAGGACTCGCCCCTGCGTCGCGTCAGCCGATGAGACGCCGGGCCGGGCCGGGCCTTGGCGTACTTAGGGGAGACGGTAGACTCGCCCGGCGTCGCGTCAGCCGAGGAGGCGCCGGGCCGGGCCGGGCCTTGGCGTACTTAGGGGAGACGGTAGACTCGCCCGGCGTCGCGTCAGCCGAGGAGGCGCCGAGCCGGGCCGGGCCTTGGCGTACTTAGGGGAGACGGTAGACTCGCCCCGGCGTCGCGTCAGCCGAGGAGGCGCCGGGCCGGGCCGGGCCTTGGCGTGCTTGGGGGAGACGGTAGGACTCGCCCCGGCGTCGCGTCAGCCGATGAGGCGCCGAGCCGGGCCGGGCCTTGACGTACTTGGGTGAGACGGCAGGACTCGCCCCTGCGTCGCGTCAGCCGATGAGACGCCAGGCCGGGCCTTGACGTGCTTGGGGGAGACGGTGGGACTCCCTCCGGCGTTGCATCAGCCGATGAGGCGTCCGAGGCAAGCGCTGTGTTGACGTGGCCTGTTTGGCGGCGTGACGCGCCCTCATGTAAGGCGACGCAAACTCAAGCGGTCCGCTAAGACCGTCCACTAAGACAGTCGCCGGGGTTCAGCACAAACTGGACGGCAAACCCCGACAAAGCCCTGAACCGGACCTAAACCGAGGACTTCGCGGTTATCCCACTGCATGTGAAGGACTTCAGGGCGCACGGGAGAGAAACGGAGTCAGATCAGCAGAGGGTGGCGCTATGAGTGGAGCCAACCAGCAGCAGTAGAAAGCGAATATAGTCCTTGTTCTGTTCTCCGTGGAACGCAAGCGGGTGAAGTTGTATCTCCATGCAGCAATGTTTATGTCTCTCCATGTTTTTCTCGCCCTCCAATGTAGTCCAAGCTGCCGCCCAACAGTGAAATTCCATATGTTCATTTGTAGCCATTTTGCGTGTTTTATGTCGCCTGATCCGTCTTCTCATGCTGTATTCGGACATTCAAACCAAAAGTTGAAATTTTCACAAACTTTCAGCTAAAAGAATGTGCTAAAATTTTCTGAAAAATTAAACCGATTGTTTAAATAACAAAAGTCAGCGTGAGTAGATGAATCAGATGGCACAGAAAGCGCAAAGTGGCGAAAAATTAACATCTGGGGTTTTGCTTTTGGACGGCAGCAATGCAGGTCGCAAATTGACAACACGTCCTAGAACGTGTCAGGACAATAGCACTTCTTTGTTGAAATCATTGCCTTCCACGCCAAACTAGGGACCCTCAAAAGGCGCGGAAGACTAACCATGCATGACGGACCGCTCCACCATCACTCAATGTTTTCTGCGCGCGACGGGATCCTCAGCCACAACCCCTCGTCCCTCCCCCTGGAGGGCGTCCCAGGGGCCCCGGCAGAGACTGCATACGCATCTGCTGCCCCCCCCCCTCCCCCCCCCCAGACGCCCATCGCAGCGTGGTCTGGTACGCCGGGCGCAGCACACTGTGCTGTAGATGGCCACTTTTTGCCGCTGCGGGCGTCGGCAATCACGAACGTCCCCGGGGAACGGGGGGGGGGGGGGGAGGGGCGGTGGCCCAGCGACGGCAAGTGGGCATGAGGTAACTGCTCCCCTCCATGCCTGACCGATTACAGACAAAAAGACGTCAGCCCTGTCGCGTTGCAAGGCAGAAAAAGATCCAGGCCGTTTCTTCCTCACCTCACGGTAGGTTCCCACGCCTCTTGAGATACCAGACGCGAGTTATGGGAACAGAATGTGGTTCCTGTCGAAAGGAACACGCGAATTCCTTTAAACGGTCTCTCTAGGCACGACTTGTGCAGCTTCGTTTACTATATTATACATATTGCAGGGCAACAGTTGACTCAAGCAAGACGAACTTTGATATTCAGACTAAATCCTGGATCCTTGACATGTTCGTGAAAATGTACTCCATGATCCCGATCATTTTTTATAATGCAACTGAAATATAGCTCCGGATGATGTGCCATTAAGCGCTGTTCTGTCAAACACCATTCCACAACGCCTGCTTCGAGATGCCCTGATCTGAAAAATACAATGTTCTCTTCAAGATTCCAGTGTTCAGAAAATCCTTCCAGCAAATGCATATCACATCATTCGAGATAAGCCGCATCCTGGACGAGGATTCGGCACTCGCGTCGCAGATCTCGAAAGATATTCTCTCTGCGTTTTGCTGGAAACAGCGAGAACGACTCGGCATGCATCATTGTCCGATTTTGCAGCCCGGCCGATTCCACGCCCCACCTACCGTTATGCACTGCATGGGACCCTGCCGAGACAACAAAACACAATGCCGTTTGATAACACTTCGCAGAAGCGGTCACTGCACCTTGGCGTACCAGGTCGCACCGTTACCACAGGACAATTTTGCAATATCCGTTGGGACATGAGAGCATCTTTGAGGCTTAGGAGTGCAGTTAAGCCCCCAGACGCGAAAAAAATGCCTTGAATTTCACAAGTTACCCGCACGTTCTAAGGATCAACGGAGCGCTAGCCACGAGATAGCGGGTAGCAACAGAAAACAAAACTAAAAAACGTGATAACAAGCCCCAGCCGGATGCCGTCTCCTGTCGCGTCAAGCTCAATACATTACAGATCAGTTCTAGGTTAATGGGAAGCTGCCATTGTGTGCTTATGGTGCCACCCGACCTGCATGACCAGGTCACTGCAAAAGACAAGGACTCACACGCCCGGGACCTTCGTCGCCACTGCCTGGGGCGTGACTTGAGAGAGGCACTTTTACCTCCGCCTCCATGTCCCGGTGTCTCCCAGACTCTGTATTCGTGGCCCGGTGTCTCTCCGTCTCTGCATTCGTTGTCCGGTATCTCACACCCTCTGTCTCTATGCTCCGGCGTCTCCCAGCCTCTGCCTCCGTGGTCCTGTGTCTCCAGGCCTCTGTATTCGTCGCCCGGCGTCTCCCAGCCTCTGCCCCCGTGGTCCGGCGTCTCCCAGCCTCTGCCTCTGTCGTCTCCCGGCACCGCCCAGCGCTGAGTCCATCGGCGGTGACTCTGAGAGGGCTGAGACAGAACTACATGAAGGCATGACGTCATGGCTTTGACAGCGCCGGCCAGAAATTAAACGCGCCAGTCGAAGCGAAAAGACCAGGGGCGCAGCGATAACAAAGAGAGCTCAGTCCCCTTGCGAGGTCAACCCAGACAAAGGCGACAGGACACTACGGCTGCATGTCGCCCGCCGGCCTCTGACAGGCATTGTAGCCTGTCCCGCCACCTTCCCCATCCTCAGAACGTTGAAAAGGTTTAGGCATTTTCGCAGCCGGGTGCGATACCCGGCAGGCCAGCCGTTCTCTGGCCTGCAGGCTGCGCATGTCGGACAGACGGATACTGGACCGACAAAAGTGGTGTGTGGGACATTGGAGCGGGGACCAAGTGCCTCCCCCCCCCCCTCTCCCCCAGATTCCAGACGCGGCCTTGAACGCACTAGTCGCCAGGGAAAAAGGACCCCTTAAAGCTAAACGTTTCGATACGTTCCTTCTCCACACCGACCGTCTAGATCCATTAGCAGCCGCACCAAAGGACAGAATCAAAGCGAGATCAATGCGAGCCGCGCGGTAGCGGGGTCACCAAAAGAAGCCACCTTACTCTATAAAAAAGCAAAGTGGCTTTTACTAAACTTTACTTACTTTTTCACTTTATAAAAAGCCACTTATGGAGCATGAGCTTAGGATCAAGGCCCACTCAATCTCCATTAACAACGCATTGTTTTAGACAGCACTGCTGTTTAGCAGCCAACCAACACTCCTCAAACCACCGCAGCGCGGGTCCGCGGTTAACAATTGCTGAATGCTTTCCAGAGCTGGCTGTCACGTTACCGTCACGGGAAAGAGTAGTGTCGGGCTCAGAGTCGTGCTGGGCTTCCCAGTCGCCTTCAGCTCTGGACGATGAAACGGTTTTGCCCCGCCACGGTTTTCGTAAGGAGGGGGCGGAGTTCAGAAAGAACGCATCAACCTGATTTTCAAGTTTTTTAAGGGGACGTTTGTGGGGAAAATGAAAAAGGCGAGCCTAAAGGGGCTGACTGCCCCGAACCCTCGGCTAAGTCTGCCGTGATTGCACTAAGTACATACGAGGTACGAGTTTTACCATCCATATTTGACACGCCAAGCCTCAGGTTTAGACTACCTCGTCAGGAGGCAGTACAAATTCATTGCAACATGCCCTGCAGAGTTTAGTTGGCATGAACACTACCTCCCCCCCCCCCCCCAATGCAATCAAAAGTACCAGCTGTCCAGCACCTGTTGAAGTGCTGCACGTCCGGGTGACCTCAACATCTTCATATCGATTATCGCTTGGAACACCTTCCAGTCAAATTTTCCCACCCAATCGTGCCAGCCCGAAACAATGCGATCCGCCGCGCTCGTCATCCACGCCGCGCCCGCCCGCCCCCGCCGCGCGTTCCAGCACTGCCGGCAGATGACTCTGCAGTCGCGGCCAAGGTCGCCCTGTTCCCAAAGATCCACGTCTTTGTGGCCACATGACGAGGCGGGAGGGAGGGGGAGGGGGGCGGACAGGGCGGGGCCATCTCGGGTGTGGTCACTGGCGTCTCTTCCGGGCGCCGACTGGACAGGGGCGATTCCAAGGACCACCCCGGGGAAGGGTGGCGATAATGGTTCACGGGCCATGCTGGGG